TTGTGACTTTCTTTCTGCTTAATAAATTTTGTCTTGTTATTGGTTTATAGATAAAAAGTAAAATGTTGTGGTGAAGAGAAGCACTGATTCATAGCGGATATTCATAGTGGCTACAATAAAAACATTTCCAAGAATTTTACACCTTTAAATCTTAAAAGTACTACCTTGTGTTATTGCACTATTTACAGCAGAATTGTATGGCATGTGATATATATGTCACTTTATGTGACATAGATCTTTATATGTTTTTACATGTGACATATGTCAACAGTAATTGTCTCAGAAAATAAGGAAGTGCTATAGTTTTGAAGATAAATTGTGTATTATGTAAAGTCAGTTTGCAATATGAGACAAAACAAGTATGATACAACCATTATGTAGATTGTTTCTAAATAATTAGGCTACTTTCTTTTAATGAAATTAACTTTATTGTTAATTTCTGGACTTTTAACTAGTTGTGAGGTCAGTCATCAATTCCAGGTAATCAAGATTCAGTAGTTCCAGGAAATCATAATTCATAGTGGGATATGGGATACCCAGGAATTGTTATGATAGTATTGGCGTGCATCTATAAAAATACATTTACTCTTAAATTATCAGTTCACACATTAGCTCGTATAGTGCAGCAATGGCATTAGCAGCATCAGGAGGTTATTTTGCACTTGGATTCAGAAGAATTGAAATTATTCAAGTTAGGCTGCGAACATCCAATTATAAACCTCCTTTGAGTAGAGCTGATAAGATTTCTCGTGAAGATGTTGGCTATCGTCTTACTGATGGTAATATTGCTGCTATTGACTTTGGTACTACATCAGTGTCACTGGCTTATACTACCAAAGGAGATGATGAAATCACCAGTTTTAAGCTTGACACAGAAGACAAATCTACACGTGTTCCTAATGTTATTCTACTGAAGAAAGAAGGAGGAAGGACGGTATCGGTAGAAGCTTTTGGCAATGTTGCCAGATCACGATTCACTTTAATGAGAAAAAATGACCATCCAAATTACATCTATTTTGAGAGGATTAAGATGTTGATGAAAAGAGAAGAGGTAAGGCTTATATACACAATAATGAAATAAACTTATGGTCTTATTCACAGAGTGTTGATAGAAATACATTAGTTGAGTCATTCTCTGGTGAGAAGTACTACCTTGTTGAAGTTATTGCATTTATACTGAAGTATCTGAAGGATCAACTCATTGATCATTTTAAGCCCACTGTCAAGCCATTGAAGACAACAGATTTTGATTGGGTCATTACTGTACCTGCTATATGGAATGCACGAGGAAAAAGAATGATGAGAGAAGCTGCTTATTTGGTAAGTAAATCTAGGTAGAATAGAAGCATCTAATTAGATTGCTTAATTGTAGGCTGGTTTAATGACAGAATTTGATGGTATTAGCAGTTTCACTCATGCAGCTCTTCCTCTTCCAAAAGAAATTAATCCTGACAGGCTGTCATTAGCATTAGAGCCTGAAGCAGCTGCCCTTTATAGCCAGGAAACAGTGGGAGACCAGATTGAAAGTGATCCAGTCACAGCAATTATCGAACGTCCTACAGATTACATGGTGATAGATGCTGGTGGGGGCACAATAGATATCACTGCTCACATTGATGTCGATGGAGGTATTGTAGTTGAGAATATACCCACTGGCAATGCATGGGGTGGCACACAGGTCAATGAAGCTTTTTCTCAATTTTTGCAGCGTATAGTTGGTGATCCTGGGTTTAAAAAATTCTTCGATACAGAGCAAAGGCCTCAGCGTATGGCTGCATTAAATAATATGCTATACAATGATTTTGAAAAGCAGAAAGTTCTTTTTGGTCAACAAAAATCAATCGAAATTGCCATTAATTTGCCAAAAATGTTCGTAAAACATTATGAAAAAGCACTAGCAAAAGGAGTGAAGAATGTACCCGGAGTTGACTATGATGAAGATATGAATGATACCCTATTTGTAGAAAAAAATGTAGCAGAATCTCAATTGTTTGGTCCAGCAATCAAAGGTATTATCGATTGTACACTAAAAGCTGTTGAAGAGAATGGATATAAAGTTTACACTTTCTATTTGGTTGGGGGATTTGGAGGCTGCAAGATTGTACATGAGAAAGTCTCTGCTGCTATAAAAAGGGCTTATGGTTCCAAAGGTCGTTCTTGTAATGTGATAGTGCCTCCTACTCCTCAATTAGCTGTTGCCACAGGAGCTGCTATGTGGCGTAGGAATCCAGAGAAGATTAAAGCAAGGCGATCAGATGCTACATATGGGATAGGAGTGTCTGCACAATTTGATGAAGAGAAGCATGATGAGCATTACAAGTTTTATCATGATGAGCAAAAAGAATACAAGTGCGGTCATATTTTTAAAGTGTTCTTAGAAAAAGGGGAACTAGCCAAATCCAATGAAGTTATTACTGCTTCTATAACGCCTTCACGACAAAGCCAGACTAATATGCATTTTGAGATATACTCCACTCCTGATCTTGGAGTTCAATACACTAAAGACAAAAATGGCAAGAGCACGGTTGCAGTGATTGGCCAACTAGTCATTGATATTCCTAATCCTGATAATTTGCCCAGAGAAAAGCGTCATGTTGATGTCACTATGGATTTTAGTGGTACAGAGATTCAAGCTAAAGCAAAGTATCGTATCACTGGAGAAGAAGTTAAAACCGTTTGCGACTTTCTTTCTGCTCAATAAAAATATTCTATGGAAAACACCATTAGCGTAGTTGTAGCAAAACTGTATAGGTCTAATAAATTGGAATCTACTAGTATCAATAAGTTTGCGGAATTTTTTGATTACTAATTTAAGTAATTATTTTAAAAACTTAAACCTAATATCAAATAGCAATGTAATTTAAGTTACACAGTTTATAATAATAGTCTCAGGCTCTCAGCACATTGTTTCTTGACAGGTGCAAAAGCATACTTCATCTTTATATTTCATTTGTCCCTTTTTATGGCAATTCTAAGATAAATATGATTATTAAGTTCATAGCAAAAAAATGTCCCTTTACTTTACAAATGATTTGGTTTATGTGTTCAACGCATACAAACAGTTCATAGTACAGCTTTAACTGATGATTGCCTTTACAATTAATACATGAGTAACATTCTCTGTGCACAAATGCTTTATCAGGTCCAATACAATGATACTGATCCTATTATAAATGATAATAAATGCTCAAATAGCTAGTTTCTTACTTGATGGTTGACTCGCCTATTACACACAACACACATGTTATTTTTGTGTAGACTACTTTTAGGAACATGAGGATGAGTAGCTTGAAAAGATGCAGCACTTGTAGCTCCAGATAATATAAAATTTGAAAATGAATGATTCGGATAGATCTACCTTCAAGCTTACCATGATGCAAGGGATGTTGTTGTTGTTGGTTGTAGTGTGGATGATGTGCTTGATGTTGAGGTTGTTGCTGATTTTTGTGGCAAAATAATTATTTCTGTTGTGAATGAGTTGTTACTTTACCTGGTGTTGGAGTAAAACATTCCTCTGATGTGTATCAGGCTGCCTTTGTACTGCCAAGATATGCTGAGGTTGTTGCTGTTGTTCCCGATCTTTTTTTAGCTCCTGTCCCTGCTGTTGTGGAGCCACTGTATTCCCAACTAATCCTTTCATTGCAACATGCAACTGATTACCATACACTAGAATAGGACGATAATAAGTAAGCTTTCTGCCCTCATTAACCCCTGACTCATCCCATGTTGATCGATTAGTATCATATAACTTCTCATCATACTGAGGAACTATTGTTACTAGTAGTGGAGGTACAAGTGTCAGCATATCTTTTGTAAGAATAACTGCTTTTTCAATGTTATCTCTCAAAATTTCCTTATTTCCATGAAGAGTAAGTACCTAGACATAAAACCAAACATGTTAGACTATGCAAGCATGCACAAACACACCTGAGTAACTATTTCAAGTTTAGGGCCGTTTCTATTCCTAAGTTCACAAGCACTTAGAAGCAAGCCATAGACACAATAGGTTTCTCTTGTATCTCCCACTTCCATTGCTGTTTCAGTAGATGAGCATTTAAGATTTTCTTTTAGATCTTCTTCTAATTGGTACAAAATTATTCCAATAATAGTGTCATAGAACTCCTATTTGGCATTGTTTATTGTTTTAAGTGAACTGTTATCTTCTAACCTTTATTCTCTGTGTCTGACCATACCTTTGATATTTCTGCTGTGTTTGTAGTAGTTCTGATTTAATGATGTAATCTTCCAAATTAATCCTGCAAGAATTGAAATTAGACATATAAATAGAGTTATTGTAAGATGCATACTTTTCTTTCATTTGATTTTTCTTGCTCTTCAACAATTCAACTTGTCTATAAATTATTTTCAAAATTTTGCTTTGTGCACATATACTAACTGGGATAACAAGGCTTTTTTTTCTTCCAGAGGTTTGATAGTTCTATAATAAAATCAAAGCCTGCATGCATGACATTAAGTGTATATACTTGTTTAAGTCTTTTATTTTCTCATTAAGTAATCTGTTTGATGAAATAAAGTCAGTAGATCTAGCTCTATAGGAAGATTATGGATATACCTTTCCTTTTCTTCAAGCTTTTGAAAATTTTCCTCAACAAGGTTACAGAGTTTTCTTCATATTTAGAGGCATTTCATTATCAACCATGATTCAAAAAGTCTTACCTGTAATCCATCTTGACTCAGCTAGTACTATCAAGAGCTTACTGCAGTACTGTGGCGCTATAGCTTTTATTAATAATTATTATACGATGCCGTGGATAAACTAATGATATTCATAGATTTTATTTCTAGGAAAAGTTAGCTCAGTGAGCAGTTCCAGGAATTTGATGATATAAAAAACAATCGCTGATCCATTAATTAAAATATCATGTTCAAATTATTTATGACTATCTATAATAGTCTATCTACAAAACTAGGTATCAAGAAGCTACTGAAATGTTTTGACTTGTGCAATCTATTATAAAATGTATGTAGATATAGTTTTAAAAGTTTATCTTTTCTTTCTGTTTCTGTCATGGTAGCACTTTTTGCAAATATAGTTGTCTCCAAATTGGAACATTTCCCTTTTAAGTATATGACATACACTACATACCAAACAATTCCTATGAAATCGACCCTGTTCTGTTGGAAGAACCTATATATATAAAATGAACTTTTTTATAGTTGTATGGTGGTGTTTTAAAGTACTTACATCCTCATCAGCTATAGGTTTCTGACATTTACAGCACAAACAGTGGCTACAGTAACTCTTTTTCTTATGATACACAAAATTTTCATCAACTAATTTGTGGCAACTAACACAGTAGCAG